ACCTTCACCACTGTTTCTTTTGAGAGACAAGAAACAAAAGCCGGGAGAACCTAAGGAAATTGTGCTGCATATGCCTCTTCTGAAACTCACCTTTCAGGCTGCAGTGTCCCTCCTAACTAGAGCCCTTCCTCGGCTGGAGCCCTTTCCAGCCTGGGTGGTGGTCAGCTCTGTGTCCCTGCTACCCAGCCCACAGAACGGGTCCACATTAAATACTAGGCAGATAGAAAAATGCTCAGAAGGATATAACAATGTAAGTAACTGAAGCAGTGCTTAAACTTCATGAATAGTAAAGGAATGTCCTTGAGCCTAATAACGTAATGGCCCTGAGAAAACTCAGCCCTTTTGAGAATGGGCACTGGGAAGTAGTCCCTCTAAGCAAGGTTCTCCTTTCCTAGCAGGGGAGACACACAGAAGTAATTGTCAGGGAATAAAGGAGGTGGTTATTTAGGGTTAGCTGTGATGGCATTATAATCTAGGACACCAGGCGGACACCATGCTTGACAGGATGGATGGTTCTTTAGAAGGAGGATTGATTCTTCACTAAATAAGTAGACTCACCCTTTAAAACACTGTTTGGGCACGTGGACAGGTGCACTGCACAGTAACCTGGGAGTCTGGCAGTTGTCCAGATTCTTCCTCTCTGCCCCACTTCCCAAGTCTGATTCATTGTCAAGTCCTGTGATTCCTCTTTACAGAAATCTGTCACATACATATCCAAAGCTTTCATCTGCATAGTTTGTTTTACTCATTCTTTTCTGGAATATGACAGTAGCTAACTGGTCGCCCTGCCTCCTGCCTGCCCTCTCCTGGGCGTCCTCACTGGGCCTGTAGGAAATTTTGCTGAAACGCAAATGTGATTGTACCCTGTTCCCTCAGCAGCTCCCTCAGGACCTGGCCCCCTCCCCTGCCCTAGCACAGCCCCCTCCCTCCTGCTCTCTCCTCCCTGCCTTTGCCTCTGCCTGGAATATGCTTCTCCTGTCCACTGAGTGAACTCCTGGTGGGAGGCCCAGACCACATATCTTCTCCTCTGACGAGTCTTCTCTAGCCTTCCCTCGCCTTCCCCCCACATCTGTCCAGCAGAGTTGAATCTGCCCTCCTTTGCCAGCCCTGGAATGTGTGCAGCTGGTATCACAGTACTTTGTACACTGGGTTTCTGGGTCGCATGCCACTTCTATCCCCAGACTAAGCACCTGGGAAATGGAGACCATGTTTAGTTCATCTTTGCTAAGCTCAGCACCCAGGGTGGTACTAAACACATGGTGGGAGTTAAATAACTGTTTGTTGATTGACTGGTTATAGAGACAGAAATGCAAAGTTAAAGACTCGGTTCCAATGAAACAAAGTGCTAGGAGGATGGCATACCTTGTGTCTTTTATAAATGTAAGCTCCCAGTATGTTCTGGCTGTAGTCTTAGCCGGGGACAACTTGTCATGGAAGCCTTCTCTTCTTATTCCCAGTTCCTACACTCTGATCTTCCCCATCTGAGAAATAGGGTTGGCCTGGCTGTGAAATGAATACCTGCTTCTGTTTCCAGTCTCTCCCAACCACCCATTGCCTGATGAACAAACTACCTATCTACACTCTTAATAAATGTAGCCGCGGATGCCTTTGAAAGGCCCTACCCACACTTCTCAGCTGTTTATCTGACTCTGACTCGCCAGTGTCAGTTCTTTTTCTGTGGGCCCTTCACCATTACTCAGTAATCGATCATTTCATCCACCTCACACCCAGGTTTTCTGAAGTCAAATGCTATGCTTCTCCTAATGCACTGCCTATTCCTCTTCCAGGCTGGTGTGTTTCCTCCTATACCACGCTGCTCACACCCACACAACAATGCAGTGGTCTTTAGGCAGGTGTTTTCTCCGCTCCTGGAGTCATTCCTTCATCAAACTGCTAGATGATGGGATACATCATTTCACCCAAAGGGACCTCAGTCTAGTGAACAGGAACATACTTGTAATTGAGTTGTTACAAGATAGAGAAAAATTGCTGTGAAAGCACAAAGAGGAGTCGGAAAATGAGGAGACAAGGAAGCCTTCCTGGAGGTGGTGACATTTCAGCTAGGTCTTGAAAAGTAAGTGGGTGTCCTTATGGAAGAGAGCATTCTAGGCCAGAGAAAACAGCAGCCATAAAGGCCTGGGGCTGTGAGAAGGTAGGGCAGGTCTAAGCAGTTGAGGATTGGTATGGCTTAAGCTGTGGGTTGCTTTAAGACACGGGGAAGGAGCCCCCTCTGTCCCAGGGGGTTTTCTTCTGAGATGAAACTGGGTGGGAACTGCAAGCACCCTCCTGTAGCTGCTTCTAAGGCCCACTCTGTCCCCCGCCCCCGCCCCCTGAGGTGCTCCCATGGCCGAGCAAGAGTCCCAGGACTGTCACCGCTCCCACCGGCCTAGGCGGCAGGGTCCCAGAAGGAAAGAGGCAGGGGAGGAAGCAGATAAGAAAGACAGCTTCTGTTTAGACACAAATATCTTCGTAATCAGCACAGATGGGATGAGAAATACCAAAAAAAGTACATGACAGTTTAGAGAGAATTTGGCTAAATGTTACATATTTTTAACATACCTGTGTAGAGTTTTTGGAACAAGTACCTGAACCTCTCAGAACATGATTATTGAACCTGGGGGTTATGCCTCAACCAAGTGGTGTTTTTATTTCATAGATGTTCCCTTCTCCATCTACAAAAGTATCCTTGTGATTTTTTTTTTTCTCCCACCAAAATAAGGCACAGGATTTGTCTCTGACGCTGTGTCTCCTTATTTGGACGGCAAGCTGTGTAACATATTTCTACCCAGCGTGAAGCTTCTTGGCAGACTCTTGAGGCCACGTTTTGGTGGCTTCAGAGTTATCTTTGGATCTGTCAAAAGTGCTAATGGGCTTTCTGGCCTTCTTTAAGCTCCTCATTTCTATTTTCTTTTTACTTTCATCCTCTCCTAAAAGAAAAATTCATGTAATTCATCAGCAGTTAAAGCATTTTACTGAAATGCTCAGCTGAGGGCCTTGTATTTTTGTTTGCGAGAGGAGCTCTGCCATGTCACTGTCTTCCGAGCAAACCCCGCCCTGCCATCATTAGCTCAGCACTCCCTGGTCCACGGGGCAGCAGACAAGCTTGTTAACTAATTCAGATGCCTTGTTTTGTTTTGTGTTGCTTTTCAAGTTTGTTAAGAGGCAGGTTGGTGTGGTGGTTAGAGCAAGTTCGGGATTCAGGAGACCTGATTTTGAAACTTGGCCCTGTCTAGTTAGGTCACCTTTGGAAGACTACTTAACCTTCCTGGGGCTCAGTTTTCTCATCTATAGAATAGAAATGATAATCTCTTTCTCAGGTTTTCTAAGAAGATCAAAGAGAACAGAGGTAGAGTACCTATTGTCTGGCATATAAGGATAACTCAGTAAAGAGGATAACAGTAATTTTCAACAGAACATTTTTCTCTTCTTTAGGCATGCATTAATCCTTCTTTGCTTCTATGCTATGCTCTCTTTTTCCAAATACAACTTTACCTAGTACTTTAGTATAAAAGAAGAGCACAGGTTTAAAGACAAACCCACCCAAGACTCATCCACCCCCCGTCTAATTTTGGTCAGATTACTTCACTTTCTCAGCGCCTCTTTTCTTATCTGTATACAGAGGTCATAGTACCTGTTCAAGGAGTGGTTTCAAGATTAAATGAAGTAATACTTGTAAAGCCTTGTATATTGTGGATGTTTAAAGTACTTAAGTGGGACAGTGTAATATAAGGGAAAGCGTATAGGCCATGGAGTTGGATCTCAGTCCAAATTCTGATTCCAGCAGTTACTGGATTTCTCCTAGACTCACTTTATCTACATATTAGAAATATGTAGATACCTCAGTAATACCTCAGGAGGGTTTTGTGAAGATTGCGTAAGATTATACATACACAGTACCTGGTATAGTGCCTGGTACTTGGGAGGTAGTCAGTGTATGGAGCTATTAATTCACTCTTTATTTGTAAAGGTCGACGGTTAATCTGGTACTTGCATCAAACAATAATAAATCGTAAGATAAGTGCCTGGTTTTATTCCCAACCCATACATAATATTGTCAAAAAGTACTTGATGCTATTTTGCATGTAAAATCCACCTGTTTTACTTGAATTTATGGGTTATAGATGTCTCATTATTATAAATTGCAAACCCTAGCAAATAGTGTTCCTTCCTTCCCCACCCCCTTCATTTTCAGAGGATTATATTGTGTGGCATTGAAAAGCTGTAACATTGAAGAAATTAGCATATTCATGTGTATTATTAAAGTCAGGTGGGTATAGAAGGGGTTGCAGAAATGAAACACATTACATTTCTTCTGAAATCTGAAGAGTACCAATCTATAATACTAATTAAAGGAATGACGCCCAGGCCACCGACAAAAGCTAGTTAAAACACTGCTTTGTCACAACTTGCTGCTACTTGCCTTTGATTTTTTTTTTTCTTTTTGAGTGAAATACCTGGAAATTGTAAATCTTCGAGATGTAGACTGTGCAGGAAGGGGCAGCGGCAGTGATGACAAGAGAGAAGCTCGCCGGCCTTTGTGGGTGGGGTCTGCTGGCCAGAAACCGGCTCAGTGCCAGGAGCATCTTGGTCCCTGGGTACTTTTCTTTGGCTGAGGCGTATGGCCCAGTGTATTGGGAAAGTTCTACGATCTGGGGTCAGAAGATCTGAGCTGCAGCCCGCCTTCATTGCTTCGTAGACTTTTTGATCTTGGCATTTCTCTCTGAGCCTTGGTTTCCCTCATTTGTAAGGTCGCATACTCCCTGTCTTGTTTACATTTAAGAACTTCTATGAAAAGCAGCACTGTGTTCTCTGTATGACCTTATGTTGTAAACTAATCACCACACAGGTACAATTGCTCAGACTGTCTTATCACTAAGGTTTCTTCCAAAGAGGAGAATATACTTCTTGATTATTTTCTGTTTCTCATGCTTTTATTAGATACTGCTTGTAGTAAGAACCAACAAAATAAGACACAAACCTCCCCTTTTTCTTTCTCCTAGAGAAATCTGACAGAATATTTTGTGGCTGTGGATGTAAACAACATGTTACATCTGTACGCCAGTATGCTCTATGAACGTCGGATACTCATCATTTGCAGCAAACTCAGCACTGTGAGTAGACAGCCTTGAGATGGGCTTTTTAATTATTTTATTTCAATTAAAGGATGTATTGGAAAGATGAAAGGAAATTTTAGAAGAAGTAATCAGCCATAATCCCCTCAGACAGTAACATGTCATTTTCATTAATTATTCATATTCCTTTACAGTGCCGATACACATTTCATTTATTCTTATAGTTTCACAATCAGTTATGGTTTTCCATTTGATCATGTGTTATGAACACTTTGCATATTTCCACATAAGCTTCCATGGTCATTTTTTACATGTCTGTATTATATTCCATTATACTGATATGCCTAATTTACTAAGAAATAGTAACTTACTAAATCTTCTTTTTCTTGATAGCCATTTAAGTTGTTCATAGCTTACTTCTTTAGTAGATAATACTGTAATGAACATCTTTGGGCTGCTTTTGATCATGCCTGCGTGGAATTGTATGTGTGTGTACACATATACACACAGTTCTTCGTTATGTATAGTGAGATACATATAAAAGCATGTTCGTAGCAGCATTTGTTTTTTGTGTTTTAAACCTGTAAAGAGCCCACATGATCATTAACAGAGAACTGATACATTGTGGTATAGTCATATGATGGAATGCTGTATCAGTGAAAATGAACACTGTCAATATGATTGGGTCTCTAATACAGAAGTTCGAGTAAAAGAAACAAGCATACAGTATGATTGTATGATTTCATTCATATAAAGTTCAAGTAAGAAAAAATGAGTGGCATATTATTTAGGGACACATACTAATTACAAGGGGGAAAAAAAGAAATGATTAACACAAATTTTAGGTAGTAGTTTCCTCAAAGGGAGTGAAAGAGTATAGTTGGGAAGAGACATATAGGGGACATCAGAAGTATTGCTGTTGGTTTTTTGTTGTTTTGTTTTTTGTTTTGTCTTGAGCTAGGTTAGAGATCGGGAAACCTTTCTATAAAGGGTCCAATGGTAAATATGGCTCCGTAGGCCAGATGGTCTTTGCTGCAATTACTGGACTCTGACCTTGTAGGTTATACTCAGTAAACTAGTGGCGATGGCTTATTCCAGCAAAGCTTTATTTGCAAAAGTAGATGTCAAGGCAGAGTTGACCTTCAGGCCATAGTATATCAACGACTGAGTTAGGTGCTGGGTTTTAGAGTGTTAAATTTTTTTCCTTCGAAAGTTGCTTATATGATGTAATACTTTTGTATATACATACGCATATATTTCAGAATTTTTGAAAAGTTAAAAAAGAGGATACTAAGCCCTTTTATTGTGAAATGTTATAATACAAAGTTAGAGACAAAGTAATCCTTGTACAAAGGCTAAGAATCAAAATTGCATTAGATTTTGCTGTGACAATTTAGGAACCAAAAGACAAGTCAAATGTGTCTTGAACTTCTAAAAGAAGATGATTTCTAACCTGAAATTTCTGTACTTAGCTAATGGAAGCCCTCAGGGGAGAGTGGCAGGAGCTATGACACCCCTGTCCGCATCCTGCGTCTCCTATTCCACTCCGCCTTCTCCACGGTTCATGAACTATCTGTCCTCTCTAGGGCCAACCACTCTGCCATCCGCCTGACTTCATGCAGAAAGTATTTTTCATGGTGCTGTTATAAGTGCTGAGGATACCGCAGTGAACAAAATAAGCTAAAATCTGTTCTTATTAAGCTTATATTCTATTAGGGAAGACCTTGAATAAACAAGATAAGTTTAAGATATAGAGTATTGTAGTAGTATTTACAGTAGCCTAATGATAAGTGCTAGGAGTAAAATAAAGCAGAGGATGGGAGTGGATGGGGAGCAGTGAGACGGCAGGCATCGCGATTGTAGATAGGGGTCAAGGAGGGCCTCGTTGAGAGGGTGACATGCCAGTGTCCTGGCTGCTATCTTAAGGGGGTCCTCCGGCAGTGAGCTCCTCTCTCCTGCATCATTAGGGTTTCTTTACTGGTGCATTCATATGAGCCTGTTAACACACTGTAGTACCTTTCAAACTTAACGAAACAAAACTTCCTTGACCCACATCTCCTTTATGCCATTTCTGTTTTCCCTTTTCGAATAGAATTCTTCAAGAGAGTTCTCTCTCTTTACTGTCTGATTTCTCTCCCATTCTGTCCTCAGTATTCTCTGGATTTAGCCCCCACCTCTCCATTGAGACAGCTGTTGTTCAGATCACTTATAACCTCAGGTCAAGTAAAATTAAAATGAGTTAATACTTGCAAAGCCCTTAGAGTCTGGCGGGGGGGGGGGGGCGGGGAGAGAGAGAGAGAATTTATAATAATATCTATAATGGTAAGTCAAATATTGTTTAAAATTTAAAATCAAGAAATAGTTACTTGGTCCTGACTGGTGTGGCTCAGTTGGTTGGGCGTCATCCTGCAAAGTGCACGGTCGCCAATTCAACTCCCAGTCGGCTTACGTGTGGGCTGTGGGTTTGGCTCCCAGTCAGGTGTGTATGAGAGGCTGATTGGTGTTTCTCTCTCACATTGATGGTTCTCTTCCTCTCTCTCTCCCCGCTTTCCTTCTCCTCTTTCTAAAAATAGATAAAAACTTAAAAAAAGAAATAGTTCCTTAGAAATAAGGAGATAAATATTGTATGATTACTGTGAAGTCAAGGTAAGGAGTAGCACGAGACAGACTGCTGCTTTTCAGTATCAACCTTTCATGCTTTTTCTTTTGAGTTTAAGGCTTATAAACATGTATTACTTTGATTTTTTAAAAAAACTTTTTTTAAACAAACAGTTGATTCTTAACTGAGTTTTGCACTTTACTGATGGATGATAGAAACCTCTTTAGGGAGAGGGGGGTCTCCTTATGTCTCACAAGCGATCACCAGAATCCTGACCAGTTATGTGCAGTTCCTCTGGGGACAAAGGAACTGAGCAGACATCAGTTTTAGCCAAGCCTTTGGGCCTTTTCAATTTCAGAATTTAAAAGTTTTATAATTGTTGCCCTTTATTTCCTCAGTAGTGGCTTTTTATTATCCTTTTGATGAGAGGCAGAATACAAAGGCTGTTTTAGCCAGAGTTTTCTGATGACTGTCCCTTGACAAATCGAGATGTGGCCTGCCATACCTTGACAAGCCACGTTCTTCTTAATTTTTTTTAAAGATGGAAGCTTAATGCTTCTCAAACCCATTAAGCAGCTGAAAGATCAAAGCTGCCAAACACTCTAGAATGCCATCTTCTGTGAGAATGACTGCTTCAATAGAAACAAGCCCAGCAATATTTAGTTCAGAGTCAGGTAATACTCATTTCTGACTTTCTCGGTCAATAATGTTGTGATAATCCTGTATAAGAAAAATGTAAGTTTTTGTTTTCTTTGCTCAGTTAATGTATATTGATTGTTTTCCTTTATAAATGATAAATAGGGAAGGCTTAACTAAATCTTGTTCTCTAATGTAAATACTTCAGTGTGATTTCTTCTAGCACAGAGGTCCCATTTTTCTTCCATATTTGCATAACTTGAGTTTAATTCATATTGTTTTTCGGCAACTCTTATGGGTAGCAGATAGGTCTAAAATAAGGCCTCTATAGAGATGATATATAATTCCAACAGCAATCCTGGAAGGTAGATAATATCCCCATTTTACAGAATGGCCTATCAGAGAGATGGAGGAGTCATTTGCGCAGGGTCACATCCTGGATGGCAGAGAGGGGCATGCGAATAGGTCATCATGATGCATTGTCAGGGAAGGGGAGGCTTTGGCTTCAGGCAAGGGAGAAGCATCCAGGAATTACACATACAAAGGAATCTTAGTCTCTTCAAAGTGTTCGCCTTCGGGACCAGGTCATGTTTATTGGGTGCCACCTCTTCAAACTATTGTCAGAATCTTTGTGTGTGGACTCGCACAACAGCCAGAGACACATTGTTAAGAATATCTAGCCCACTGAGGAAATTTGAGAATTCTCAAAAAGACCTGAAAGGTTGGTCTAAGCCAAATCTGATGGATAAGGATGCTCATTTGGGTAAAAATAAGTGCTGATTATATGGTAATTAGAGGAGCTTCTTGTGTAGTTTGTAAATATTTAGCTCTAAGACTACCAAAGAGGTATGCTGGCAGCACAGACTAAGCGTGTAGAACACATTTATTTATTTATTTATTTATTTATTTGGGACTTTACTGGAATTCCCAAATTCTCCCGCATACCTCTTTAAAATTCTTTTAAGAGAACCATTTTGAGCCCCCTACTATGTTCCAAGCACTGTGCTAAGCACATTTTCCATTAGCTCTTTCAGTAACCCTAGGAGCTAGTTAGTTTTATTCTCTTTTGCAGATGAGAATATTGGCACTTGGAAAGTGGAAGTGCCTTGTCTACGATGGCCAGCATAGATGGGACTAAAACCTGCTTCGCCTGGCTCCAAGCCAGCCCCCTTCTTACTACCTCATCCTGCCTCCTTGGTAACTCTCACTTGTCATATGTTCCCTTTAACACTTATCCCCAAAGAAATATTCTTGTTATGATTCTGTTGACCCTGGGCCTGAAATCGCAGACCTGGCTGGGTCCCTGAGGCATATCTCCCCTAATTCACTGTGGCTGCAGGGTTTGTGTACTTCAGTTCCCTCCAGCCCCTGTGTATCTTGGCTTTCATCGTCTTCTCCATAATTTAGGGGTACTGCAAGACATTTTGAAAACTAAGGATATCCCAAAGGAACATATATTTGCTTTATTCAGCAGGTGCTTTTTAAAACAGGTTCTTAGGAAAGAAGGTAAGGCCATTACCTAATTAGTTGAACCTCTACACCTAAGTATTTATGAGGTAGCCGTAACTGCGAAAAGAATCACTGCTTTTCTGATAGTACCCCATTTCCGGACAGGAGAAACTAAACTGGAGCCTTTTCCCTGTCAGTTTCCTCCTTCCTCTTAGTCCCAGAGAGTGTGGGCCTCGAGCAGTCCCCAGACACTGGTAGCCCGGAGAGTGACGGTCGCTGGTCCTCTCTCCCCACCCGCACCCTTAGATCTGGCCCTTAGCACACTCTTCAGCGTTGCTGTGCGGGGATGGGTACC